GCCCTCGGCGCACGCGCCACCTGCCAGGCGCCGATCTTATCGCCGCAGGAAGCCAGCGGGGCTCTCGCGCTTCCCCGAAGCCCGCCCCATTACTCAGTACGCCCGAGGCTGCCTCCTGCAGCTTTCCTTCGCCCCGCGCGTGGGCCTTTGCCAGCCGGGGGTTCAGTGCTGCGGAGCGGGGAGGGGCGGCTCCCGGACCCCCAGCTCCTCCGAGCTCGGGCCTTGCAGCTGCCTGGAAAGCGACTACGGTAGAAGGTCCCACCTAGGCTGCCGGCCTCTCCCAAGTATCAGAGTCGGGGTCAGGACCTGAGATTTATAGGAACATGGGGTCAAGAACAAGAAAAAGGACAAAATGGGTTTTCATTAAGCTTAAAGAGAGTAGTAAGAAATCTCACTAAAGGAAGATTTTGCTTCTGAAGTTAGACTCCAGCAATGACAAATGACAAAGATAAAAGATAAAGAGAAAGCTGACTCGGGAAAGTGCCAGGTAACGCAACATAAGAATTTTGACAGAAGAGTGACAGGCAAACGCAAAAGGCCAGGGAAACCAGCCCGCTCAGCCACCTCTGGTAAAATGCGAAGAGATTAAGGGCAGCCACCTAAGGCCTCTTATTTAATATGTAAAAGGCACACATATATATTTTATATGTATATTCTTTCGTTAGTATCGCTACACCACTGCACCAGAGATACACATGTCCCCTGAATTTCTGACTCTCAGCCGCCCTTCTGTAAAGCTCCCTCACACTTATCCATCACAAACAGGCAGGAATAAATCAAACAGCCAGAAAGAACATAGGTAGAGGTGTTCAGAATCAAAGATAGCCACAGAGCCAGTCAGATGGTGACAACTTCCAGGTGCTTAGGTGGGGATCAGAGAAATCAGTTATCCTAAGTCAAAAAGGAGCTGAGCAGTACAATCCACAGATGTTCCCTTCTGATAGCCCTTCTCCCCCAGAGTAGCTGTCTATCTTCTTTTTAAAAATCCTTGCCAAGTAAACCGTTGTTACTCCAGGGGTGAGAGTTCATTACGTCATGGTACGCTTCCCACTGCCCTGCAAACGCAGCTGACAGGGATCCTAAACTTGACACCAGTAAAGAAATTTTAAAGAGGCAAAGTTTAGTATAACATAAGACAGTTTCTTTTCTGGAGAAAAAATTTAAAAGAAAGAGGATACAAAACTACCATGAGGTGGTAGGGGCATCAGAACTGAATGCCCAAGAGCTCATCTCTGGCTTCTTTTATTGGGGACTAGTGTTTTTCCCGTGTTGTCAATGTCTGATCTGTTGCCTTGGCTGTCTTTCATCATAAGACCAAATTGTAGATTATCAGGTATAGCTTCCTTACAACAGCTAGCTTTAGGCAACACACGGGAGTCAGTACCACAGAACTACTGTTGATTTGATATTGAAATATGGAGTATAATGATCTTGAAGTGTAAAATTGGACTCTTGCACATTCTATCTAGAGAACAAGTACAGATTTTCCTTTTTAGTCCCTGTCTGCAGTAAAACTGGTCAGCTTGCTGGCACTGTACACGCCAGCTTTCATGGGGTACCCTTCACCAAGTCCCTATCACTTGTCTCATAAACTTGTCTGACTACAAATTCATACTCTGAGCCTTGGGACAGCAGAGGCCCTGTGTGTGGCAGAGGAATAATCCAGACTGTGTGTGCATGTGTATACACACAAAATGATTAAACATGTACCTCTGTGTAAATGCATGACTTTATTCATGTTTGTAAACACAGACTATTTGGTGTATTCGCATACTACTGGACACATACACAGGCAGTTACATGTCTCTATAACTGAAGTTCCTTATACATACATGCAGTAGAAATCAAGGTTATTAGTTTACTCATGAGATGATTCTTGCTAAGTTTTCTAAAGAAAGAGGCTTTCACAGCTCAGGAAACTTCTCTCTTGGGTTTCTTGAGAACTCAACACTTTACCTGCTTCTGATTCTGTTTTTGGGCCTGCCTAAGATTTATGGTATGTTTTCTTTAAGCTCAGCTTCTTATTGAATATGTTGCAAAAGAGGTTTAGTCAAAAAGACCAAAGCATGTCTTCAACAGTCTCCTGGGATTCTTCTTTCTTTGCCTCCCTTTTTTTTTGCTCCTCAGGGAGCAGTGGGAGGCGAACCTCCTGCTGATGCATCACCCACTGCAGGAGCAGGGCCACCAGGCTTTGTGCTGCAGATAAGGTTTGAGTACAAGCCAGGGCCTTTGCAAAGAAGTCAGGCCCCAAGAGTTCCATGTTTATGCCAGCTGCTTTGATGAGGCATTGATCTTTTCCCCATGCAGGTTGCTCCACAGTCCTGGAGGCAAGGGGTGGGGCATGGGGGGGACAGGAGTTTGGAGCCAGAGCCCGCAGAGCTGATGCTGGATGAAGGGACTATAGAGTCCGGACTGCTCCTCACACAGGGGCGCTGCGGCTCCCGAGCCTTTAGAACTGCTGTACACCTTCTGGCCTGTAAGCCTACAACCTGATTTTGTGCATATCTGAGGATGACTTAAGACCCGCAAGGCAGGCTTAACTCCCACCAAATGACAGAGGACGTAGGTGGCCACGAGCAAAGGGCCCATTAGAGACCTTTGATGAGGCTTTGTGGCTGCTTGCACCTAAGCTGTGTGTATTTTCTAAATGTTTAAAAATTAGAAGTCAGCTTTGTCTCACCTTTTACCTCCGGCCATATGCTTAGTCTCCCTGGGATATGAGGCCCCTCTGACTTGTAGGAACATTTTCCTTTACGTGCACTCTTATGTGCCCGCCCCCCCTTTGACGGGGAATAGTCAGTGTCTCCTTTGGGGACCGCAAGGTCTTCTGCTCACCCCTTGGGGAGGCTGCCCCTCTGCCTCTCTGCCAGTCTGCCTCTGCTCCATCAGGGCTTCTTGCCAGACCTTTTACTTAGGGGGAGTGGAGAAGTTATATGTGAAGGCTGTCAGGATATATCCCAAATTTTTGTGTATATCTTTTCCTAGAGGAATGCTTTTTAGTGTTCATCAGCTTTTCTAAGTGAGTTGTCATCAAGTTATGTTTTCCTTTTCCCTGATAGCTTCAATAAAAGCCGAATGACCCTCCCGAATAGCCAGCCTGGACACCTACTATTCAGGCCCATACTCTAAATCACTGCCTCCTTTCATCTTCTGCAGGGCCTTCTCCTCATCCCCAGGACTTCATGATGGTGTGGAACCCATCGTCTCTTACGTGGATCATGTGACAGGCATGTCGCTGGCCCTCCATAGCATGGGACCTCCTTTTCTCTGATCTTTCTTCCGTGTCACTTTCCAGGTTACCTCCACATGTTACTTCTCGGCTTCTAAGCTGCGTGGAGTCTTCCATTGCTTATGAAATAAAGCACAAATGCTTAGCATGGTGCTCACAGGACTGGACCTTCGCAGTCTAGCCTGGCTTCCAGCCAGGACTCAGAGGCACCTGACCTCTTGGGGTGCACCTGGTAATTACCATTTGCTGTGTCCTTTTAAGCCTCCATCATTTGGTTGTGTGATTCCCTCTGCCTCCTGTCTCTCTCCACTTGATAAATACACAAAAGCAGAGTCAGGCTGATCCATCTAAAGTAGCAAATCCCCTAAAGGGCACACACAGGGCTGTCCCTGGGCTGGACAGGGCAAAGCGCCTTTCACAATCAGTTTGATGCCTGGTGTGCTTGGGGGACCTATTTGCTACCATAGCCTGCATTGCATTGTCTGAGGCTTATTCATCCATCCAAGTGTAATTAC